GAGTACAAGGACTTTTGTCTGATTTTGAAGTAACTTTAAAAATTCGTAAAAAGTCCAATTTTGATCAGAATCAGCTCGAACTTTCTACACAACGTAAGAACATGTACATGTATATGTATCAGGAAATGTAATAAAAATAGAATTTATTCCAAACAATTTTTGATGAAATACCCTGTACTATAATACAGATATCTCTATGTATTATTATGTGTTTATTATTATTATTATTATTATTATTATTATTATTGGCCTCGCCCAGCTTTGCGTAGGCGAGGACTAGGTACTCAGTTTGTCTGTCTGTGTTTCATTCATTCATTCTGTGTGCTCTCTTTTGTCTTTGAGAATGTATATCTTTGCAATCGCGTGCTCTAAATCTGTGAGAGCTTCTCTTCTGTTAGGAAAAGTCTTGCTTTACTGCCTTGAGATGTTTAGAGAGCAGCTCTAGCTAGTAGTAGCTTTTTATCTCACGAGAAAATGCCCAGCAATAGCGGTAGTACTCTGGAGGTAAATGAGACTCTTTTCCAGTAGATCAAGACTAGTTATTGTTTTAATATTTGTGGGACTCTTTAAACCTTTCTTGTTGGTGAGTTATAGCTTCTTGAATTTCAACCGAGTGAACTGTAGGTAGTCTAAAGGTCCTAAACTCTCTCAAATCACTCAATTTACATCTAGGCAACAGTATTTGTGCCATTATAATGTCATATAGCACTTATAAGAAGAGAAAAATATGAAACTTCTTGTTGCAGCTAGGGCTTGCTGCCATCAAATAATTAATTAATAGTTAATGATGTCATGCCACACCTCCAATTTGGGAGTAGCTGGATTAGCTTGCATGCTGCTACTTCTGCAGGTAGTCTGGTAGATCTATGCAACCTAGCTGCTATCCTTCAGGAGTACACTTGTTTTATATATATATATATATATATATATATATATGCAATTTGCATGTTAAAGTTCTTTTAATTTTGATAATCAAACAGCTATAGGGGCGAAGCCACGCACCGTAGGAGTCTCGTTATTATTATTATTATTGTCTAGTTTATAAAGGTGTCAGTACTTATGATTACATAATGCAACAAAGAACAAGAAATGAACAAAATAATAATAATAACTCATCTAATAACTGTCTGGTAAGTCAATAAAATAAAATAAATAAAATACGTTTATATACATGTATGATTAATAATAATGGAAGTACTTGTAGTTACATGAATGTAAATGAATAAATAAATGTAATATTGTTTGTTATAACTATTAATAACTATTAATTAACTAGTCTCTTTTAATTAACCAGTACAGGAACAGGGTCACTCCCCTACTGGAAGAAGGTGGCGGCCATTTTAAAATGGCGGAATCATCTTCAAACAGTTCCTCAAGTTCAGCTGGTAAGATGACATTTGGTCGGACCCCGCCCCCTTCAGTTGAAGGTGATAATGAAGATTACACTATATCCCATAGTGAAGAACATGCTGACTTAGCAAGAAACCAATCTGGGAAACATCGGACTGGTAACCATGACGATGATGATTTTAGTAACCGTCGTAACGTTCAAACACCCTCTCAATTTGAATCTTCACAAGACGTGGTGTTTAATTAGTAAGTGAAATAATATTAATGATACTTTTAAGATTAAATGAAGAATGTGTCCA